TGGTGGATGGCCACCTACCTGGTCACTCTACCTGGTCAACCCACACAGTGTCATGCCTTTAACGAAAACAGCCTCTTCCTCTCCCAGCAGCTATCAAATGCCAATACCTCCTCAGATAGGGGTGGAACTTTGTGCCCACCTACCCTCTCCATGTTAGGATTTTGTTTGCCTTGAGCCTGAGCAAGTCTCATGCATGTTGTCACAATTGCTGTGAGTTGTAAAATTGTCCTGCTGTCCGGAAAATCATTTCCTTGTAATCATCCACCACTTCTGGATCTCAGAATCTTTCTACTCCCTTCTCTAAGACGATCCCTGAGCCTTCAGGGAGGGGAGTCTGAAACAGAAGTCCTATTTAGGGTTGAGCACTCCACAGTATCTAATTAGAAAACTGACATTGACAGTTGTGACTATATTAACTGGCTTCTACTTCAAGAAGAAATATCTGATGAGGACTGAGGGATGCACTAATCTATGGGTAGACCAATACATCATTAAGAGTCATCATATATGTATATGTATATTATATAGCCTATAGAGTCTGATTTGTACCCCAAACCAAAGGTCCTTCAGTGTGGGTCCACCCACTGGGCCCACCAAGAGTCCCATCCCTGTAAGACATTGTCTCTCCCCTTCCCAGGAGCCATCAGTTGCCAAAAGTTTCTTAGGTTGGGTTGGGATTTCTTACCCACTTCCCTTATCTAGGCTGGAATTTTGTCTGGTTTGAGCTTGCATAGGATTTGTGCATGTTGTCACCATTACTTGAGTTCATATGAGTAACTGACAAGCTTTCTGGAAAATTTTATTTCTTTGTGGTCACCTACCCCTCAGGATCTTACAGTCTTTCTACCTCCTCTTCCACAACAATCCATGAGCCTTGGGAGGCAGAGGTTTGAAATAAGTGTCCTGTACAGGGGTGAGCACTCTGCGGCCTCTTGTTCTCTGCACAGTGGCCAGTTGTGGGTTTCTGTGTTAATCACCATCTGCTACATATGAAAACTTCTCTGGTGAGAGTTGAGCGATACATTCAACCTATGTGTAGAGACTGCATTGAAGATGTGTCATTTAGGGCTAAGCATCTCACAATCACTTTTTCTCTGCAATTGGCCAGTTCTGGAACTGTGTTATAGTCTCCATCTGCTGCAAAAAGAAACTTCCTTGATAGGGGGTGAAAGATACACTTGTCTGCAAATAGGAGGATGCACATTTAGAATAAAGTAACAAGTTATGTTGGTCTAGGAATGTGGCAAAAGCGAGCTTTTCTCTAGGATCTATAATGTCTCTAGCCATGTGTATTTGGCTACATTGCAGTTCTGTCCCATTGAGTGGGTTTTTATTCCAATTAGATTTCTGTTCATTATCCCCAAGATAAAAGTGCCACTACCATACCAATAGAGACAGCATGCTTGGTCAGGAATTGTTCTGTTTATTAGGCTTGACAACTTGGTAGGATTATCAATTGGTTTTCTCCCTTGGCAGATGTATAGTATCCTCTGATGCTAGGAGAGCTAGTCTTCAGGGAGGAGGCTTCCAGATCAGTTCCAGCAGCAATAGGTTCCTAATGTCAAGCTCTCAGAAGTAACCAAGAACAATGACAATAGTCTTTAATATTTGGGGTCGGTCCATCAACCTCACTTGGCCAGTTGATTCTTAACAAGGGTTTCAAGACCATTCAATGAGATAGGACCATCTTTCTGTTTTGCTTTGCTTTGAAATCTGGTCTTGCTATTGTCTAGGCTAACCTCCAACTTTAGATTTTCTTACTGAAGTTTCCTAACTGCTGGAATTACAGGGAGCACTACCACTCCTGTTGACGAGCAGCCTTTTTAAACAGTGATGCTGGAACAATCAGATAGTCACATGCAAAGGAATAAAATTAAACCCCTACCTCCTATAAATGCAAAAAATAATTTGACATGAACCAAAAACTGAATTACAAGAAAAACAAAAGGCTATTTTGAAGAACTGCTTGTAATCTTGGATTAGGAATCAATTTCTCAAATTATACTAAGTGGGAAGGCTGCTGAAATGCAGAGATTAATTGGACTTCAACAAAATTAAAACCCTTTGCACTTCAAAGGACACCACTACACCAAAAACGACAACCAATAAAATGAAAAAAAATCACTGCAACTCATGTATATGCCTGATGAGGATTTAGTATTCAAGAAACAGCTCTTCAAAGATATATAGATGTCTCATAGATACACAGAAATATTTTCAACATCACTGGCCATAAGAGAATTTTAAATCTAAACCACAACGTCACTTCATACAGACTATGATGATTTAAACAGCAGAAATGAGTGAAAATGTAGAAAAACTATAATCCTTCATGTTGTTGGTGGGAATGTAAAATTATGCAGTCACTTTGGAAAAGAATTTGGCATTCCCTCACAGTTTAATATAGAGTTGCCATACATATTGTCCTTCACTTTTGTCCGTTACTATAAAGTTAAGAGAATCAAAGATACATGTTCATACAAAAACCTACACACAAATGTGCTTTAAAAATGTTTTTGTAGGGGTGGAAAGGTGGGTCAGTGGTTAAGAACACTGGTTGTTCTTGCAGAAGACCTGGGTTCAAATCCCAGCACCTACATGGCAGCTAACAACGGTCTGTAACTCCAGTTCCAGGGATCCTATAGCCTCTTCTGTCCTCTGTGGGCATTGCGTGACACAGGTGCACTTACCTACATGCAGGCAATACACACATACATATAAAATAAAAATAATAAATAATTTTTTTTAAAAAAAAAGAAATGTTTTTGTAATACACAAATTAGAAACAATCAAGATGCCTACCAACTGATACAATCTACCCATACTATATTATTCAACTAGGAAAAATAAAATCTTGGGGCTGGAGAGATGGCTTAATGGATAAAAAGCTTGCTCTACAGACATGAAGACTTCAGATTCCCATCACTCATGCAAAAACTCAGCATGGCACCATACATACCTGTAACCCCAGCTCTGGTGGGTGGCTAGAGACCAGCAGATCTTCGGGGTTCACTGGGCTTGCAGTCAAACCAAAACAGCAAGCTGCAGGTTCAGTGAGTCCAAGTCTCCAAAATAAAGTGGAGAAAGGTAGAGGAAGATGCCTGGAGTCGACATCTAGCCCCACAAGTGGAGAGAGAGACAGAGACAGAGACAGAGAGAGAGAGAGAGAGAGAGAGAAATCTCATATGTGCTACAACATGAACTCTGAAAACATGCTATGTTAAAGAAGCAAGACATAAAACCCACATATTAGAGGCTGGAGAGATGGCTCAGCAGTTAAGAGCCCTGGCTGCTCTTGCAGAGAACCTAGGTTTGATTCCCAGTACCCACATGGAGGCTAATAACCATCCATAACTCCAGTTCTAGGGGCACTGCACTCCCCTATGGGTGCTGCACAACATGGGTGCACTTACATGCATGCAGACAATACACTCACACACATGAAACAAAAATTTAAAAAGTATATATTTTTAAAAACCCACATATTATATTATTCTATTTATGTGAATAATTAAATCTATAAATCAGAAAGGTTGTTTATCAAGGGCTGGGGGAAAAGGGAAGGGAAATGACTTCTAATGCATGTCTTTTGGGATGACAGAATTGCTTTGTAATTAGGTAGTGATAAAACGTGCACAATTTAATGAATATACTGAAAGTCATTGAACTGTTCTCTTTAATGGTGAGTTATATGCCAATAATGTTTTTCAAAAGGAAAGAAAAGGGCACCTTATAGAGACCAAGGCTGGAAATGCAACATAAATTTATGAAAGGGGCTCAGACCTCTGTGCACCCAGGATGGAGGATTATCGATGCAATTGAATTTGGGCAAACATGAGGGAAAGGTGTCAGGCACCCATTGCCGGTGCTGTTACAAACTGGAACATGCTTTGGAATAAACGATTTAGTAATATCTATCAAAAAGGATAAAGCACACACCCTAGGATCCAGGATTTCATTTATACAAATCTAACCTCCATGTGAGGCTGGCTCAGTTAGCACTCAGTGAATTTCTTTCCTATTATAAAGGTGATCATCATAGGAAGAGGTAGTAAATTATGCAGTAAACTCCTGCAGCCAAATTCAGCTCATCTCTGCTGCTTTCTGGAAATATAATGAGGCAATGTTCCCACTGTAGGATGGTATGGCCATGAAGTTTCTGCTCTTTTAATCTTTGCAAGCTGCATAAAGAAAAAGTAAAATCCTCCCTAATATGTAGAGTCTTGTTTCTAGGGCTCCTGAATGCACACTAACAGCAGTTAAAGGTTCTGTGCTCTCCTCTTGACAAACTGGATATGGGGTGCGGTGGTGGTTGAGTGGGATACAGTGGAGAGAAGGAAACCAGAAGGAAACCACCCAGCCAAAGCCATGAGTGATCTAGGCATGAAGCCTCGTCAACATGAGCAGTAACAACACTGCAACTGCCGAGATCCGTGACCACTGGCAGAAGGGCCCGAGTGGACCTCTATCTTTTGTTCCTTTAATTCCTTCTCGAACTAATGATGTCTTTTTAAATACGACATTTCTATTACTTGTAAATTCTGTGTTGTGTTTCTCAAATAAAGAGTTCTGACGATGGAAGAGGAAAAATCCTATCAATCTATTTTCTCATTTGTCATACCCTGATCTTTCAGTCCCTGAAGACAAAACCTGAAGTCAACTTAACTGAATGGCAGGAACCACACCAAGGAAGGAAACATTGCACCTGAAACCTGAGACCCTGAAGGGTGGCAAATGGCAGCCATAACCAAAGAGGTTAGTGGTGTCCTACCTCTGTGGAACTGGTCCTGTGGAAACGGAGTGCTCATTCATTCACACACCTGCCTCCACCCCAGGTGCCCTCCTCTTACCTAGACAACCTGGGGAGACAGGGTGGGAGACAGGGATTATGACATAAACAAATGTCCACAGGCTGAATAGCTAAAGGCCAGTTCAGGAGCTTTTAGTAGGGACACCACCTGTGAAAGCCTCACAAACAGCCAACTTCCTGCAACTTCCATACTGCCGGCCCTACCAGAGGGAGAACGATCCCTCTAGGGGTGAAGTCACATCAGCAGTCTCGTAGAGGAGGTGTCAAAACTCTAGGGGCGCAACAGCAAGTATAAAAGAACAATGGAGACGGCTATGTGCGTTTGTTCTCCTTGTTGTACATGGCAGAGGTGTTGTCCTCGGCTCTTCTCCTGTCTGTGCTGCAAGTTCATATTCACCTCAGAGCGGAACTGCACCTGCTTCCCCTGCCCTTACAAGGATGAGAGGAACTGCCAGTGCTGCCACTGCACCTGTGCTGAGAACCCCAACTGCCACTGGTGCTGCTGCTCCTGGGCCAATGATCCCAACTGCAAGTGCTGCTGCACGACCAACACCAACATGCAGTGCTACTACTACGAGAGCCGCTGCTGCCGGAATGCCACCATCACCTTCAGAAGGGGCCGCCTTCGGAGCATCCGCATCTCGTAAGTGCTGAGCATCCAGTGGGGGTTGCCTTGACTCAGACAAACTGGGGAGCAGGTGCCAGCTGTGGGGTTCCAGGATGGAACAATGCTTCCTAGGGTCCATTATTCTACCTGGAAAATTAAAACAGTAATTTTGTAACAACTGTATCCTAAATAGACGCTAGCATGTGTAGACCCCAAGTTCCAAACACAAACTCCACTGCCGATATAAATGCAAGCTGCATGTGCCATTCTGACCCCAAACTCAGCCGTGCAAACTAGCGATAGCTGGTGGTGGTAAGCAACTTGTTGGGTAATGTTTACATGCCCACTCCTCGCCCTCACCCTGTGACCACTGGAGGATACTTAGCTGAGAGACATTAAGTTGCCTAGAGCCATCCAGCTAGGAAGGGGCAGAGTCAAAATTTGAATCTGGAGCAGGGTCTATGCTCTGAATTTTAAAATGTCATATTACAAAATGGAGACCATGATATGGGAGGGACAAGGATCCATGCACCTGCTTTGAACCTGTTGCATGATACAAAAATATAAACTGTTCTTCATCTTCCTCTTATGGAACTTTTGTTGTCGGCAACATTGACCTAAAAAAAGCCATTTTTTAGGCTTTGACCCCCTAAAAAAAGGTTTTGACCCAAAACATTGACCCTCTCTACAGCCACTTTTGACTTTAACAACCTAGAGAGGTGCCCTAGACACTCCTGGGCTGATGGCTGCCTCCTCTTTCCCATCAAGAAGTCCAGACACTCCGGGTCTCAATTACTCTTTAGGGTAGTAGCCCTCCATATCAGCTCTACCACACGTTCTCTTTATGTCACACATTAGGGGAATTTGGCAGAACAAGGGGGAGATTTCTCAGACGAAAGATCATAGATCAACCCTGTGAGGTAACGAATTATAGGACAGAACAATGGGGCTCAGCTTTGAAGACGTTCAAGGCTGAGAAAGAAATTCTGTGGGCAAGGGTCTGTTGAATTTGGTTGGGGGGGGGGATGATTCACTTTGAAACCAAGCACTTAGTTCATGCTTAACAAATGTTCCTCCTCACCACAGCCCTCCCAAGTCAAGAAATTCTGAGGGCTCCTCTCTCCTCGAAACTTTGTATTCTCTGGGTATGAGCCATAGAGACTCACTGAGCACATTTCAGTCCAGGGGTGGGGGTTGAATCAGTGGCTTGAATAATGCCTTTAAGCATCAGCGGTTCCCAAACTTGAAAGTACATAGAACTCACCTGGGGATCTTTTTAAAATACTCAGGTTTGTTCTCCACCCCTCAACATTCTCATCTTCATTGGTATTGGGATACAATCTGGACTTCAGAATGGTAAGAGCTCCACTGTGTCAGATGATTCTAATGGGAAGAATGTGAAGGGGTGAGGTTGGAACCTGGGAGACTCGGCAGCTAAGTGCAAGAATGGGATGGAACTTGGGAGAGGAAGTGAGCTATGCAGAGGAGCGGAGGAAGAGTGATTCAAAACAGCAAAGCTGCTGGGCTTGGTAACTGCTGTGGCATAGTGCCATGGCCCTGAATGTCTGTGTCATATCTCAGTTTGTGTGGAAGTATTAGGGGTCGTTCTGATGCACAGGTGCTTGCCTTCCAGTTCCCTCTCCCTCCTGATTTCTGAACCCCTTCCTCCCACTCCGGCTCCACAACCTCAGCTCTCCCTCACTCTAATCTAACAGCCTTCTCCACTTTCTTCTCTGTCTCCCTCATTTTTTCACACCTACTCCACCCACCCACCCCTAAGCCATTAGCAGATGCTTTTCATCAAAGAAGCCCATCCAGCTACCTCATGTACAAATGCCTTGTGACTCCAGGGGACCCTTCAGGGCCCAAGTAGGAGTCTGGGAACCAGAAAAGGAACAGCTGAAACCAGTAGTGCCACAGCCTGGAGCCCAGCACCCAAGTCCTCAGGGACAAGCGCTCAGGGTGCCTGAGGCTACACAGAGCCACTCTGTGCCTCAAGGCCACCCCAGAGCAATGGACTTGGGAAGCACCTTTGACTGAGACACAGGTCCCTCACCAAGAAAGTGGGGAAGGAGACAGAGGTACAGAGAAAGAAGGAAGGCCAAGGCAGGAGGGCACACAGCCCAGTGTGAAGACCAGTACCCAAACATGACTACGAACAGAGAAAGGACCTAACAGCTACAAATGGGGTATCAGCTTACACCCCCATTCCCACAGCCAAGTCATTTATTTATCCTAAACTGCTTTTGTTCTGATTGTGACTTCTTAGAACATGCACTTGAGTTCTGCAAATATGGTTTCACTTACTTTGTATTTCTTGCAATAAATACATGAAATCAACCTCAGACATTAGACAAGTAAAGAAGCTTAACTCATACAACAGAAGCCTGGGCTTCATGGGTATGGGGAGACTGCGCTGGGCTCCCGGGCATGGGGTGCGCTCACTCCCTGTGGATCCGCAGACTGCTCTGGGAAGCTGCGGCTCCGGGAGCGGTGGCAGGCACGCAGGCTTTTCCCGCCGGCTGCTTCGGGTCCCGCGTCTCTGGTGCTGGCGACAGCTGGTGGCTGCCGCAACTTCTCTGATGCTGAGAGCTTACTCTGCTACTGGAGCATTGTCCAGCCGGAATCCCGTCTCTATTCCACCCGTGTACTCTTCCTCAGGATGCGAGGCTCCTGGCCACTGAACCACGCAGGGAAGGGGTACAGAGACGGCGAAAGCTAGTGTGTCCGGGGTCGGTAACGGAGAGTGCTGCCCCCCCCGGGGGGATCAGGTCGCCGGTACACAAGACTCAAGGCTTGGCTCAGTCTGTGTTTACAGCTTTATTCTCTCTGGGACCCAATCTCTGGGACCCAGTCTCTGACCCAATCTCCCACTATTAAGAGAAGGCTAGGATATATTATACCATGGGGGTAGTGGTAAAAGCTTTGGCTGTTAGATGCTTTGTGAGACATTCTATTTACATGTGGAAGTGGATTTCTGCCACACTGCTAGACTGCTGGCCGCCTGGAAAAATCACACAGGAAGGCATGGTCTGCTTAGAGCCAGAGGCCATGTTTATGTCAGGGCATTTGTGGCGGCCACTTCAAAGGGAGAGTCAGGAAAGATGTCAGAAAAGCACCCCGCTATGAAAGGAGCCCGCAGCACATTAATCCCGAGCTGCATGAGCTGTCTGGTGTGAAGGGACTTCCACTTTGCATAACAGAGGTCTCCAACACATGGGCTCGTGTTTTCTCCTCTACTGTGGACATTAGTTGACAAATCACACAGGGGAGTCATCATAGGAACCATACTCACGAATACTTTCTATCAGCAGTTACACACTTAAGATGGATTACCTCGTGTACACTATAAGCCCTTCTGAAGGAAGCACTTCGGGCTTTCACTTACAGATGGAGAAACTGAGCATAAAATAGAGATTAAGAAACTCCCTTCAAATATCCAACTCTAAAGTGCTGTGCTACATCATATTCCCAGAGGCCAGGCCCTTACTTATTGCTGTGGACCTGAAAGTCAGCCCATGGGAGTTCTAGGCTTAGCTCAACTCCTCCTGTCCTAAGAAAGGCCATTTAGCCACCCTCCTCTGACCCATCCTATGTAGAGAAGTAATGATGATGTCACTACCTTCCTGGCCTAGCCACCAGAAGCCTTGGATTTATTGGCTCATTGCAACAAGTGGGAACATGACCCATAGGCCAGAGTGAGGTATCTTGGTAAGAAAATATCACAAGTTAAAGCAGGATTGGTGCTCCTGTTAGGGTAAATCTGCTGGGTGTCTTAATCTTGTCTAGAAGTAGGGAGAACAGACAAAGCCTACATCTGTAATTGGAAAGGAAGAGGGGGAGGAAGAAGAGGAGGAGGAGGAAGAGGAGGAGGAGGAAGAGGAGGAGGAAGAGAAGTTGGAGGAGGAAGAGGAGGTGCAGTCTAGCACCCTGCAGTGATGTTACTTCTGCTCTGATCATCACAGCTGCTGTGGCCTTTTCTCTCCCTGGTGTTCAATGATGTTACTGATACTCAGTGGGACATCCAGGCCCAGCTCACTGCACCAAGTCCTTCTGCTTTTTTCTTGTCCGAAATTAGAGTTAACAGGTTGCAGTTATGCAACTCCTCCTGGGTCCACCAACTGTGCCCAATTCATAGACTCATTAAACCAAATCTTCTCAAGAAATACTATGGCAGGAGGGAGAGAGAGTTCAGTGGTTAAGAACACTGGCTCTTCTTGCAGAAGACGTGGGTACAAATCCCAGCACCCACATGACAGCCAACAACAGTCTGTAACTCCAGTTCCAGGGGATCTGATCTCCTCCAAGGGCATTGTATGATATATGTGCACATACATGCAGGCAATACATGCATAAAAATAATAAAATACTTTTTAAAAATAAGAAGAGGGGGCTGGAGAGATGGCTCAGGGCTTAAGAGCCCCGACTGCTCTTGCAGAAGACTCGGGTTCAATTCCCAGCACCCACATGGCAGCTATGAACCGTTCTTAACTCCAGTTCCAGGGGAATCCAAAGCCCTCTTCTGACCTCTGTGGCATGTATGACATGTGTGCAGGCATGTATGACATGTGTGCACTCACCTACATACAGGAAATACACAAATATACATAAAATAAAAAATAATAAAATTTTTTTCAAAAAAATAAGAAGAAGGCTGGAGAGATGGCCTAGCAGTTAAGAGCACTGGTTGTTCTTGCAGAAGACCTGGGTTGGAATCCCAGCACCCACATGGCAGCTAACAACTGTCCATAACTCCAGTTCCAGGAGATCCTAGGGCCTCTTCTGTCCTCTGCTTGCATTGCACTGACATAGGTAAACTTACCTACATGCAGGCAATACACTCATACACATAAAAAACATAAAAATAATAAAATATAAAAATAAAACCTTCCCAAAAAAAGAAACACTATGGCAATTGTGGAAGGAGGTTAACGGCTTTATTCGAGTTCACTCCCTAACATGGAGAAGGCAGGCTAAGAAGCTGGGAACCCAGGCAGGGACCGTGTCCTCGCCATCCCAATGGGCCACCTCTCCAGACAGATCCTTCAGGGTCAAAATAAATGAAGGAACTCTTGAGCATGCTGAAGCCCTGTGCCCGCTTCTCTTTTCAGATCTAAGACAGCCCTCCGCGTGGGAAGCAGCGACACTCAGGTGAATGAGGCGAAGTCGCCGCCCGCCAACAGCCACCTGGTGGACCACCTCACCTGCCCCATGTGCAACCGGCTGCGCCTACACTCCTTCATGCTGCCCTGCAACCACAGCCTGTGCGAGAAGTGCCTGCGACAGCTGCAAAAGCATGCCGAGGTCACCGAGAACTTCTTCATCCTCATCTGCCCGGTGTGCAGCCGCTCGCACTGCATGCCCTACAGCCACCAGATGCAGCTGCCGGAGAACTACCTGCGCGGGCGCCTCACCAAGCGCTACATGCAGCAGCGTGGCTACCTCAAGTGGCGCTTCGACCGCTCCGCTGGGCCCATCCTCTGCCAGGTCTGCCGCAGCCGGCGGATCGCCTACAAGCGCTGCATCACCTGCCGCCTCAACCTGTGTAACGACTGTCTCAAGGCCTTCCACTCGGACGTGGCGATGCAGGACCACGTCTTCGTGTCCACCAGCACCGAGGACCAAGACGAGAAGATCTGCATCCACCACCCGTCCAGCCGTATCAACGAGTACTGTCGCAATGACAACAAGCTGCTCTGCACCTTCTGCAAGACCGCTTTCCACAACGGCCACGACACCGTCAGCCTCATAGACGCCTGCTCCGAGAGGTCCGCCGCCCTCTTCGGCGCCATCGCCAAGTTTAAAGCAGGTGCTGGTCGACTTCCGCCGCCCCCTTCAGTGAAAGTAACTCCCAGTTCCGGAACCGACTGGAAGACAGTGGGTGCAATCTGTTTAGCGTGTAGCCTTTACCCTGCCTGGTGGATCAATCCAGGCACCGGGAGACCGCGAGCTAGCCAGCCAGTCACTGTCATGGTGTCTACACCTGGCACCTACCACCAGCCGCTTAGTGTCACTAAGTCACTGTGACTCAGTTTTTCTCCCTCATTGGGTTGTCGTGAGGGTTAAATGGCTTACTCTTGTAAGGCTTGCAATTACAAGGCGTCCTTCCTTCCTCCCTCCCTCCCCTGGTATATAATATAAAACTGGTATATAATAAGCACATAAAGATCTTTCGATCTTTGTTATAATCTCGGTGAACTTTGGTCTCATTTTCCGCTTTGGAAAAAGAAAAGTGTTCTCTCCAATCACACCCGAAGTTCTATGAACCTTTCTAAGGTGTTTGTCACTGAAGCTGGATTTCCTCTTTTTCTTTCTTTTTTTTTTTTTAATCTCCCACGTCCTAACTGCCAGGTTGAATCATTAATGTGAGAATCATCTCAATTTAAAGTTCTCTCCCATGAACTCTTTTTTCTTTTTCTTTCCCTTCCTTCCTTCCTTCCTTCCTTCTTTCCTTTCTTTCTTTCTTTCTTTCTGACAGGGGCTTATATAACCCAGCTGGCATCTAACTCCCTATGTAGCTGAGGATGACCTTGAACTTCTAATTTCTAATCTTCCTATTGCCACCCTGAGTGCTTATTTCTTTCTTTCTTTCTTTCTTTCTTTCTTTCTTTCTTTCTTTCTTGGTCCCTGTAGCCCAGCTGGCCTGAGACGCACTACTACATAGACCAGGCTGATCTTGAACTCACAACATCCACCTGTCTCCTGAGTGCTGTGATTAAAAGCATGCACCACCACACCTGGCCTCTCCCATGAATTTTTTCCTCAGTGTTGTAGTCCAAAAATAATAATAATGTAGTCCAAAATAATAATGATGGTGATAATAATACCTGTAGCCCAGCTGGCCTGAGACGCACTACTACATAGACCAGGCTGATCTTGAACTCACAACATCCACCTGTCTCCTGAGTGCTGTGATTAAAAGCATGCACCACCACACCTGGCCTCTCCCATGAATTTTTTCCTCAGTGTTGTAGTCCAAAAATAATAATAATGTAGTCCAAAATAATAATGATGGTGATAATAATAATAATGTACTGTTACCAGACACATAGTAAGAGAGAAACTCCAATATTCTGGTCAGCAAGGTGTTTTCCTCTGTCTGCCTGTTCACAGCTGTTCATACTGGCTATGTAATATACCGTTTCTATAAGAGAAACTGATCCTGGTTTTATAAAGAAGCTAAATACAATAATATTTTTCAATGTTCAGTGAAAGGCTCCATAATTTCTAAATGTGTCTTTCCCATTTAGGCATGTCTACATACCTGGTTAGACCTAGAAATACATGTAGGGAATCCCTTCATAAAGGATGATTTCATATAAACCTTTGGAATATACTAAATCCAGCCTCAATAATCCTACAGAACAGGCATTAAAATCTCCTCCATGGATAAGTCAACCGTGGTTCAATAAGATGGTCAGCACAAGGTGGCTAGTAAGTCACAGCATATCCAACACCTGTGCCCATATTCATTCTTCATCATTCATTTGACAACCTGCTATGTGCTAACCAGTGACAGGACTGTAAACATGGAAAGCTGGATCAGCACCACACTGCCACCCGTGGTCTAGATCTTCAAGGAGTGGTCACCATCAGTAACTGAAGGGCACTGGATCAAACTTCATGTGTAAGGCAGCATTTAGCTGTAGCCATTAGAAATTTAATTCTTTCTCTGTTAAAAGAGAAAAATATGCCAGGGAAGGGTCACATCTGGGAGAAGAAAGGGAGGCAGGGGAACTTGTTTCATAACCTATTCTGGCCTGAATCAGTCCAGCTCCAAGTAACTTACTTTCTCTCTCTCTCTCTCTCTCTCTCTCTCTCTCTCTCTCTCT